ATAACCATTTCCCTCAACTTATTATCAAGTCTATTCGCGCTCCAAAATTCCAAACGACTACGAATAAAAGAGACCCGGTCTAAAAATTGATTAGATGTGACAAACTAAGACCCAGAGAATCTTAAAGTGCAATCATAAAAAATATTCAAAAACTTCACAAATAACATAGCAACTTCCCAATCACTTTCATTCGGACATTTTTTCACCTCACCGGTGCAAAACTCTCTAACATAACCTACGTCATGCTTTTCCATCCTCTCAAATGCCTTTTGATATTTTTTTGGCAACCTCCAACATCAAATACGTTGAATTCCAACGAGTTGAAACATCTAAACAAATTGTTTTCTTACTTGTTATTTTTGCTTGCTCGACACACTTTTTCAGTTTTTGCATTCTAGTTGACGAACTTCTTACATATCTCACCACATATCTAATTTTTCCAATACTTGCATCATCATCGTTTAACCCATTTTGAAGAATCAGAGCACATCTTAAGTGCATGTGTTGACCTCCCAAAATTGTACCACCCCACTCATTAACCGTATTCATGACATATTGAACTGATACATTATTTAACGACGCATTATCTATAGTAATGGTAAACACCCTTTCAAGTCCCCATTCTAGTAAACATTATTCAATGTCATGAATAATCTACGTAAAAACCACTTGGTAAGGCTATTGAACACTTTACGTGAAAGAGTATTGTAAGTTGGATTCGAGTGATGGCATGCATATGTCTTCTATTAATGTTGAAGATGATGGTAGAGATGTTGATGATGATGTGGATGGGTATGCCTTATTTGATCAATTTCGCAAAAAAAAAAAAAAAAAGAGAGAGCTAAAGACTGTTGATTTCTCAGAAAACAAAACTGAAGTCGACAAATATTTCATTGAAGCTTATGAAAGTATGGTTCAAGTTTGCATTTTTGTTTTCATTCTTTTGCATTTCTAATATGTTTTTAATAGTGTTGCATTTTTTTTGTTATAACTTTGTTTTGCATACCTCTTTACAACATGATTTTGATATCTTGAAGTGGTGGAAAAAGAACGGCAGTAGGTTTTAGATTATCTCCATGATTGCACAAGATGTATTTGCCATTTCCATATCGACCGTTGCATCAGAGTCGGCTTTTTCTACCGATGGACGTATTATCGATCCATATAGAAGTTGTTTGACTCCTAAAGCGGTACAAGCATTAATTTGTACCCAAAATTGGATCCAATGAACAACATCGATTGATCTTGATGACACAAATGAAGAAGTTGAAGCGTTGGAAGCTGGTAAGCAAATGAGAAGTTAATAAAATCCAACACCCAATAGAGTTGGATCGGTTCATTTCCCCCATATCCATTGGATATGTCAACCGATGAACAACCCTATTACAAAGGATGAAAGTGATTATATAAATAATAAAATTTATTGTACTATATAATATGAGAAGTTAATTTATATTTTATTTATTAAGAAGAAAAAAAGAGAGGTAAATTGACATAATTGCCTCTCACGTAAGAGGCACATGGGGTGACTAATCGAGCTCCAATTAATGGCATTAAGTGCATGAACCAAAATGTTATGAAAGTGACAATATAGGGACTAGTGGTATGTGTTTTAAAAACAAACCAGTTTTGGGCATCGTGCGTTGCACGGTGATCATAACACATGTTAAGTAATATACAAAAAATTGTGAACCACATCAATATTTTTATACTTCAAATTGAAAATAATCAATTTTCATAATGTATTTGTAACTCTTCCAATATTTCTAGGCATCCCTTCTCGTTTCATATACTTAATTGTTTTTCAGTATTTTTTTCTTCTTATTAATACGGATTAAGATTCAAGTCAAACTCAACCACAATTCATGATATAAAAATATTAAATTCTAATTTATCACATCAATATCTTACAACATTATATATTAATTTAATTAATTAAACTTTTAATATAGATTTTTTTTTTGCAAAAAGAGGATTAACCAAAAATCTTATGTTAGGAGAGTCAGCCAAATAAGTTAAGCACCATGAGTTTAGATAATCATTCAAGGGGAGCCAGCCCTATGAATTGTCATAGAGACATCACCATCTTTCTTTATATATCTATCATTCAATGTCAATCTTTTATCTACCTGTCAATATGAGATAGACAAAACTCAATCACAATTCAAGATTAAATAATACTCAATCTTAGGGTGTCACATTGATGGTTGTGGTTCTTACTTTTAAATATAAAAAGAATAAAGATTATATATATAATTAATTTTTAATATTGATTAACCCTTCTTGAAAAAAAAGAGTTGGCCAAAATGAACCAACCTCATGTGTTCGAAGGTCGGCCAAAATGCTCTAACCACAGGTGTTAAGAGAATCAACCAAGAGGAACCAACCTCATGAGTTGTCACAAAGGCATCTCGACCTCATTTTACATATCCAACATTTTTGTCAATCTTTCAATTCTCAATCAGTGTGGGATATATAAAACTCAATTACAATTCAAGATTGAAGAATATTCAATTATTAAGGTGTCACATCAATGGTTCCGCTTCTTACTTTAAAAAACATATTAAAATTATCTATTCTATTAATATTTAGTATAGATTAATTTTTTCACAAAAAAAAGGTTGGCCAAAATGAGTCAACCACATATGTTTGGAAGTTCAATCAAAATAATCCAACCACGTGAGTTTAGACAATTGCTCCGAACATTTAAAGATAAACATGGCTTATATAGCCAAATGAAGCTTATAACTTTCAAAGGAAACTCATATTTCTCTTATATACTCATTTTCCTCATTGACGTGTCAATTTCTAATCAACGTGGATATACAAAATCCAACCATAATGCAAGAATTTTAAAATATTTGATTTTACTGATGTCACCTTATTATTTTTTAGCTTTCTTTTTATTGATATATATGTTGATTTTTTTATATAGACAACTTTTTTGCAAATAGAGGGTTTAGGGTTCGTCAAAATGAACACACCCCATAAGTTTAGAGGGTTAGCCAACATGAACTAGTGATATAAGTTTATAGGATTAGCTAAGAGAACCCAACCTCGTGAGTTAAAATAAAGACACATCAACCACCTCTTATATACTTACCATCAATTGTCGATCTTTCATCTCTCCATGAATGTGAGATACCCAAACTCAACCTCAATGCAAAAAATATATAATACTCAATTTTTAGGATGACACGTTATTATTTGTGAATCTTACTTAGAGAGAGCCCTATATATAAAGATTTTTTTTATAAAGATGACCTTTTTGCAAACAAAGAGTTGGCCAAAATGAATCAACCCCATGAGTTTAGAGGGTTAGCCAACATAAGCTAATGATATGAGTTTATAGGATTAGCCAAGAGAATCAAACTCCATGAGTTAAAACAAAGACACATCAACCGCATCTCAGATACCTATCATCAATTGTCAACCTTTCATCTTTCCATCAATGTGAGATACACAAAACTCGACCTCTATGCAAGAAATATAGAATACTCAATTCTTAGGATGCCACATCATTTTTTGTGGATCTTACTTTTATATATAAAGAAGATTGATACATATACATACATATATATATTGATGATTGTAAACACAATTTATTTTATATAATAAGATTTATTTTGCAAAAGAGAGTCATCCAAATAAGTTAACTTTATGAGTTAAGCCTCTTGAGTTGACACAATGAATTTCATCTTCTTTATACATATCTCTTTATTCTTATCTTCAATCTTTCATCAACATGATATATCTCAAACTCAACCACAATTCACCAACACTTCAATACTTAATTCTCATGATGCACCTAATTACCTCTTGGTTCTTCTTATATATATATATATATATATATATATATATATATATATATATATATATATATATATATATAGAGATAGATAGATAGAGGAGCATTCAAATAAAAACCACTTCAATTTGTATAAACCGTGCAAACCACTCTCATCCGTCAATTTCATTGTTTAATTTTATGAAATTTTTTCATGAAATTGTTTAATCTTGTGAAATTGTTTCATATAATATTTTTTTGATGAAGTTGTTTCATATACTATTTAATGAAATTTTAATGAAACTGTTTCATGTATTTCTCTAAAATTAAAATAATGAAGATGATAATATCTATGATTAACACCCTCCACAATAAAAATGATAAATCAACCTCTTATAATTACAAAAAAACGAACAAAATAAAAAATTATGATTGGTTGAATGAGGTTTTTACAAATTGAGTGGTTTTCATTTGATCGCTCCCCTAGATATATATAAGGTAATAAGATTTGTTTTGAAAAAATAGGATCATCAAAATAAAATAACCATCTTATGACTCAAGCTTTATGAGTTAACACAATATAAGATTTTTTTTAAAAAAAAAATAGAGTCATGCAAATAAAATAACCTTATGAGTCAAACCTCTTGAGTTGAAACAATGACTCTCATCATTCTTTTTTATACACACCTCCTTATTTCAATCTTTCAATCTCTCACCAATGTGGGATACCTCAAACTCAACCACAATTCATCACCACCTCAATACTCTTGGTTTTTCCTTATATATATATATATATATATATATATATATATATATATATATATATATATATATATATATTTCAAAATTTGAGGATAACACATGCACAAAAATATAGTTTACTCTATTTTAATTATAAAAGTTCACATATTCCACAATTACGACTATAACACACACACATATGGAGTTTAAAATACAAAATATGTAATTGTTACAAACTATAGAAATCTATCTTGACCGTTTGTGTAGATGATTAACTTTATAGATTAGATCGGTTCCCAAATTTACTCTCAACCTCATCTTTAACTGATTTAATAACCATTTTTAGATTTCAAGATTAACAATATCAAGGTCTCAAGTTTGCTTTATATGGTTGTAACAATCACATACATATACACACACACACATATATATATATATATAGAGAGAGAGAGAGAGAGAGAGAGAGAGATTATGGTGTATGAAATAGTCGATAGGGTCAATTCCATTGAGAGTTTTATGCACAAAGATCCTTCCAATCACGAAGGTGAGACATAACTTAAGAGTAACAAATGGGCTCATCTTGGAGATTTTAAAGACTCCACTTGGGATTTTCCTTGTGGACCTCTCATTCGTATAAAGAGTCTGTATTCATCAAAAGTCATGGGTTGGTAAAGTGCAGGTGTCTTCGATGTAACAAGCTTTGTTGCAGGTCCGATAAGCACATCACTCTTTGGATTCAAGAAATACGCCAATGACACTCTTTCTTTATCTGGGTTTACGATCACTCTGTGCTCTACACTCTTGTACATAGCGTTCGTCAAAACCTGCAACAAAACATATTTTATACAAATACACTCTTTTATCAACTTCTAATCAATTACTTCATATGACTCTTTTGAGTTTATATTACCATTTTTACGCATTAAGTATTGTTTATTGATGCATAACATATTACTTGAAATTCAAGGTTACAAGTAAATTATGTATAATTACAACTTATTATAGCTTCATGTTTGAATTCGTGTGTAACTAACTGTAGATAAACATAATCAACTACAACATAAATATCTTATTTCAAATATATAAAATCTAGAATATAATTAGGATATAAAACGAAAATTATTATCTCGTTGCATTGCACGAGTATCCTTCTAGTAGGACTAGAAAGACAAAAGGCAATCACCTTATTACTTTTTTTTTATTTAACATTTCTTGAAAAGTGTTCTACAGAAAAAAAGATTTCTTCATAAAATACGATTCAAGAAGCCTCTCACAAAAAAAAAAAAAAAAAAAAAACTATTTATTTATTGAGTCCTTTTTTATTGCTTAATTAAGGGAATATGTTTCTATAATTCACACCAACCATTTTTGTAAAGACAAAATTGGAAAGAATAAAATGTACAAGCAGGCTCCCCGCAAGGAGTAAATCCAAGTGATCAGTCCAAGTAAATCTATAAGAAAATAAACAACCAGAGAGGAGGGACCATCAAATAATAACAGCCTTCGGAGAGTCGATCTAAGAAACCCTTGATTTTGTTATGGTGATGGTAACAAATTTAAACAGAGCACCCATCTGTATTTTACAAAAATTACAGCATTTGATCATATATGAGAGATATTTGACAAGTCTAACTATGATATTTGTTGAAATCATGAGAGTTTATTTATCAAGATTTGGATATTTCTGAAAGATAATCAAAATTCATTCATTATAATTAACGTTATATATCAGGATATAATAAATATATTAATTAGACTAGATGAATGATTAAAATTGATTTGTATAGTTTGTACTAATGGATGAGACCGTAAAAGAAACCATCTTTCTAGTCATATGATAATTAGATTCAGATATATTTAGTATTATTAAATAATAATATTTAAAAAAAGATGTTTTGGAGTTATTTTCGAGCATAGGTGTCGTAGGTTTTTGTTGACGAACGATAATTTAATTGTTAAAATCCAATAATATTAAACAAATTAATAATTATATTAAATAACAACTTAATCCAAATCGAACGAATACCACATTAACTAATTTATATGTCACATGTTTGGAATATGGTTTTCTTTTGCCTTTTTCTTTTTTAATTTTTAATATAAATAATATTTTATTTTGCTTTTTTCTTTGTTCACACAAGCGACCAGCTCTTACTGCCTTGTCTAATTATATCACCAAAAGAAAACAAAAAATATTTAATTATTTAATATTTTGTCATGGCCAAGATCGAGACATGAAAATGACCCATCCATCGTGTAACACCCATAAAAAAAACATGTTTTTTACACTATTAAAATAATAATTATGTTTTTAATATTAAAAACACGTCAATATATATATATATATATGTAAAAATAATTTTGATGTTGATATATATGGATATGAAATTGACCAGGAGAAGTTCAGATATCACACAGACGTGTTGATTAGAGGGGTTGGTTCAATCTCATAACATGAAATACCTGAATTTGATCTCCAATATTGACGATGATTGCATGTCGGGCTGGTTTAACTGTAATCCATTCACCAGCTTTTCGAACTTGGAGGCCACTGACATGCTCGTCAGGGAGTAAGAAGGTCATGCCACCTGGGTCCGAATGAGATGATAATCCTAGGGTCAAGTCGGGTTGTGGGCATTTAGGATAGAAATTCACTCTCAAGCAAGCTCCGATGTTGTTGTCGCCACCAAATGCTTTTTCCAAATGATTTTCTTCGAGTCCTAAGTTTGTCGAGAATACCTTCAGCAACAGCTTGCCTAGCCTCACAATTTCCTGTGAATAGTCTTCAATCACGTCCCTACAATATAACATATAACGATTATAAAATGCTATGATCAATACAATATAATATATATTCAGTCATGTGACGGAATAAAAAATGAATACCTGAGAAAAGGTGGATGTGAAGGCCACTTTTTATGGTCTTTTAGATTGGAAGGAAGATAGTGAAGGAAATAGTAGTCACTCCAATCAAGAATTGCACCCTTTTGTAACCCTAATCGACTCCCATACCCTTCATAAGTCTTGGGTGAGTTTGCATACTCTTGCTTGACTTCCATTGGTTGATGAAAGAATTCCCTCCAAACTTCCCGAGCTTCCTCCACCAATTCATGACTCATCCCATGATTCACCACCTGAAAGAACCCCCACTCGCGACATGCCACAGAGATCTGGTCCATGACAGCTTTCTTGGTTGCAGTGTCACCGTGTATCAATCCAAAAAGATCGATTAAGGGGATGTTTAAACTATCTGATCGTGTGTTGAAAGACGGCCGTTGAGACAACGGCTTGATATATCTGTCTGGAATCATCAGGTTTCCGGTTTCTGATAACGATTGGACCCGAACAATGGGTTCGGGCCAGTCAGCAGGGCAATTCATGGCTAAATTTAGGATGGTGGACAAAAAGAGCTTGAGATGAGATTGGGAGTATGGGGTGTTGGAGAAGGGTGGTGCTATAAAAAGGAAGAGGATAGAGGTTTGGCATTTTGAAGGAGTTATTTTTGTCGTTATTCTATCCATTTTGGGAGTTGATTTTATCTTAATATATACATAAATCATGTTAATATAAATAAATAAATATCATTTTAAACACCTAGTTGGATGATTTTTAACGTCATTATAACAATTTTGACCCCCCCTTTTTTTTTTTTTTAATGTCACGGTGTTTCCATTAGCCATGAAACACGTATTGGAGTTTAAGATTACCATTTTCTAAAATAAAAATCTAAAAATTGTACAGTTTATTAAATACTTATCAGCAAGAAACATCATCCTTATTTACCTTATCGTGTAACTTTCTTAGCCATCAAAATGAATTGTTTGTAAGCAGTTTTAAACCTGATTAGAGATTACAGGTAAGAGTAATTTTTTTTCTCACTTATCAGTACATTTTCACATTCTACCTTAGTAATGAAATGAAAAAAAACTTCTTTCTTTATTATTAGGAGTAAACTTGTCTTTAGGGGCCGTTTACCAAACACTTATCCGGTAAGCATTTATCGGTAAAATTTAACACTACCACTTACGTACCAGGTAAGACTTTAGTCCACCAAAACGACATCGTATGCAACAGTTTACCCAGTAAGCACTTACCATGGTAAGAGTCGTCTCCCTCACTTACCGGGTAAGACTCTCGGTCATTGTCTCTCTCTTACTGGGTAGGATTCTTGGTCCTTACCATATATATTCATCCCGTAAGGTAATGTGACTGACAGGCTAGGATCGTTCGTGTTTTCCTAGTGGGCAGAATGTCCGCATAGTGGCGGTGCAAGTGCATGCCGACACTATGATCGCTTGCAAGTAGTAAAATGGTACAAAGTACCGAGATCGTTCCCACATAGAAAGGATGATTGAGATTTAGAGATTTTTCATGAACTTCTTGCACGAGTTTCGAGATGTAAAATAACTTTGGATTTTTGTTTATAAAAAGACTGGAATAGGACCGACTAGCTAATTAACGAAATAAACTTCTAATATTAAATGATGGGCATGGGTGCAAGTGTTGCTTAAGATAAAATTAATAATAAAATTGTTAGACTTTTACGAGTTGTTTATAAAAGTTCCAATCTCTCGAAAGTGAACTTTTATAACCGGACCTTATAAAAGTCCATAAGGTTTTTACGTTTACCACTTCGATACTTGCCGATCTAGCTAAAAAGTAAAAGAAATGCAAATTTCACCCAAATCTCTTTGTGATGAAAATACTTATAGCTTAACCCCTAGCTAGATGCATGAAAATACTTGTGCATCACTTAAGCCGTATTTCGGATCCGCCCATCTCTGGGTCTAAGATCTAATATTAACACTTCAAGTGATCAACTTATCCGCATTTTAAGCATCGTCTTAAGTGACCAAGTTACGAAGTGATAAAAGATAAAAACACCCAAATATTATAAAAACATCCTAAGTTAAACTCGCACCCACACCCATACAAGTAATTTAGCTAGACATAATTAAAGACATAAAATAATACTGAAATATAAATTGCATTAATGTAAAACTAAATTACGAGTACAAGGAAGTAAAATACTAGAAATTAAAGACAAGAAATTAAAGACATAAAATTAAAGACAAGAAATTAAAGACATAAAATTAAAAARCATTTAKAATATTAATTACTAAAAAGAGATGAAACATATTAGAGAGTAATGTCTACAAAAGATGGTGTTTGGCACCTCCCAAAATGGTTCTTGGCACTAGTTGGCACACTTCAAAAAGGCTCTCCCAAGCTTCTTTATATAGGGGAGAGGCAAAGGGGTGAAGGACACCCAATCATTACCCAAGGATAATTAGTACTAGGTTAAAGAAAATACAAAAGAAACTAAAATACAATAAGGAACACAGCTCATAACAGGTGGAGGAAAATATCTGGAGGAATCTTTAAGCTGCACGTTTCCCAAGAAGCTTTAGCAAGACTGGAAGACTTCCCACAATGGTGCCACAGTGGGCAGAACTGTCTAGAAAAATACAGATTTTTGGAATAATACCTCTTCCTTTGTGTTTCAACATTTTTTTAAAACTTTTTGGAATAAAAGACAAAAACAAGAAAATTGGGTATTTAAAAATAGCAAAAAAGGAGGAAATAACTCTTAAAAATAAGAGTTATCAGTGACTTAGAAAATGTTTACCCGGTCAAGCGTTTGGTAAACGACCCCTTAGTTAATTAAAATGTCTAATAATTACATATCGCTTTTTATGGTAAACATTTATTTTATATATAGGTAATATATGTTATGATTAAAATATATATCTTGTGTTTTTTATATAATTAAACGAGATAAATAAAAAATAACTGTAATAATTATAAACCTCCGAATAACAAATACTAAGAAAAGTTGTGTCGTTTAACTTTAACCTACAATTACAACAAAAAGAGCCCATCAAATAAAATATGAAAACATAAATTAATCCAAGAGATAACAAATTAACTATAAACAAGAATATCAAAATTAAATAAATACACCAAGCCATCCACACATATAATATAAACGATATTAATTAAAATAGTATTTTATCTGTATAGTTTCATCTTTTTTTATTAACCTGGATATCCAACCTGTTATGCGAGCCGACTAATTTCAAGACGACCACCTGCTTTGCAGATAGCCCGGAATCACTGCATTTGAACCTCCGTGGCCACAAGAGAATTTTTATTCCTCTTTGGATTTTGAACCTGGAAACTCCTGGTATTTTTGACCTTTGAAGCCAAACTTAAACCAATCAGACATCACCCTTGTGGTTACAGTTTCATCTTTTAATAATTTTTAAAAAAAATTATATAAATGTCATTACCTTTGCAAATATTTGTATAATTCATTAAAGATCTATAATAAAACCAAATATATTTTATAATAAAATAGGAAAAATTGCATTAAAATGGAACAAACTTTAACTTAATTTCTATTTTAGGGAATCAACTTTCAAAATCAGCATTCAAGGGTCTAGATCAAACTTTATATTTATTTAAGGGTCTCGTTAACCGGTTGAATAGGTAACCGGTAACTTAATATGATGTGGCAAAACATAAATTAAAAGATAATTGCCTGGAAATTCCTATTGCCAAATCATCACTCCATCACTCCTCTAGACGCCATCTTACCATTCTTCTTAGTCCTTCCCTCCCACCCATCTTTTCTCCAGGCCCCATCTTGACGTTCTCCTTCCCTCCTGCTTCTCCGAACGATGTCTGTCTGCTCCTAATGTTTAATTATGTACCAAAGAAATAGCATAAACTTTAAACAACCAAAATCGAATATGGCTTCCATGATTACACACGTACCTAGTGTGGATTGATGTGTTCAAGGTTTGATTTTAAATTCTACAAAAAAATCATTGAAGGGGTTCTACCCAAGCTTCTTTTAATTTCTTATTTTAGAGTAAAATCTTAATTTTCCCTTAACCACTTTGCTAAATCGTAATGTCTAGAGAATATGAAAGAGGGCCGACGGGAGCAGGGGTCGTAACCAGAGTTTCCAAAGCCACGGTGATGTAAAGGGAAGAAAGATGTAGGGATTAGAGGGAGGAAGACGTTAGAACAGAAGAAGATGAAGATGAACTCATAGATGAAGCTGAAATGGAGTAGCAGTGCTATAATGACAAAAGAGGGCCAAATACACTTTAAGAAACCTTTGATCTCTCTTGTTGGAGCATCCACCAATTTCCTGAGCAAGGAGATGAAGATTGTTGACTGAGGGGTTAGAGTTTGCTGAGATTTGATTTTGGTGATGAASCAAGGAGAGTAGCAGGTGGGTGGCGGAGATGATGAGGAGGAGACTAAGGGTTGGATTAGGGTTTTTTTTTTTAAATTACATGTTTTAATATTAATGTAATTATAACTTACGCAATATGATGGARTTCTTGTTTTTATATAAAAAAATAATTATTCTTGTTCTTATATAAAAAATAATTATGCCAAATCATGATTATTAGTGCCATGTCATTGCTTTTAATTTTATTTTTATAATTTTAATAATGACATGDAATCTTAGTTGGCAGATTACTTGGGTTATGTGATAATTAATAGGTTAAAAGGTTAATGGGGTCCTTAAATAAACAAAAAGTTTGCTAAAGACCCTTAAATGGTAATTTTAAAACTTGGTTCCCTAAAATAAAAAACAAGTTAAAGTTGGTTCCATTTTAATGCAATTTTCCCAATAAAATACACTAGTAAAAAGTTTTCATCTAGATGATCAAAATGACACCAATATTGAATACCTAAAAGTAGGGGTGCTCACGGCCCGGGTTGATCGGTTTGGAATCGTTTTAACAACCCAACCCAATGTTGGCGGTTTGAAAAATTTTCAACCCAACCCAACCTAACCCAACCCAACCCGTTCGGGTTGATCGGGTTCATCGGGTTTTTTATCACCCCTAGCCAGAACATCTAAAGCAAAAAAGATGAAAGATTTTTGACAGATAAGAACACCATCAAAACCTTTGTCAATACCTTTCGGCGTGAATGAGTGTGTTTGATATAAGAGAACCTGCATATTTTTTCCTGAACAGAGCATAACATGGATACACACACACATACATATATATCATTGAAAATTTGTTGCTAGACACCAGAAGTGTTTGACTTATTCCAGTCTTAATACTAAAGCACCACCAAAAACCACAATCAAATAAGCACCAAGATTCAATTGATGGATTATATCCCGTACAGCATTTCACGATGATCTGTTACCAACACTAATATCTTCTTTGTTTTGTATTCATGTTAAGTGCAAAGTATGTATTGGTTATCCAATATAAAATCTGAGAGTAGTGGCAAGATGTGAATTGATATGAAAACAACACAAATGTTGTTCAGATTATAACGTAGCATCATACTGGTAGTATAAATATCCACACGGTATAACGCAAATTTCATGTGATGTGCAGAAGCAACGTTCTGTCTTAGCAAGAAATATGAATCATCAGAGTAAACCTAACCTTTCTCCGAAGCTTTAGA